CAGCTCATCTCAGCCGGGCTGGGCCTGTCTGTCCTGACCAACCCAGGAGAGCCCATTTCCACAGGTCCGCCTGCCCAGTCTCTCCAGTCATATCAGAACACATCCAGAGCATCTGGACCGGTCCTGTCCACACTGTCATGTCCACTACACGCTGGCCACACAATCCTGACACTTTCTGAAGTGTTTTCTTTATTTTTACCTGCTGCACACAAACAAGCGCCAGTGACTGCAGACGAGTTCAACCCAAACCAGTGATGTGAACCTGTGACTGCAGGCATCACGTGCAAACTGTACCAGAACAGTGGAGAAGAGGACAACGGGTTTTGTGTAATTAATTAATTAATCAATCTACTCTGTCACAGTTTCTAACTAAATATTTACTGGCAAGGTATGTTCAGATCACAGAGTTTTTTAGGTGAGGGTGGAAATACGTCAGTCCTACTTAATCTGGTTCATTTCATAGCCAGCAGGTTGTGAAGAAAGAAAGGAGAAAATATAAAAATATAAAAGACGCTATTCTCATCAGATAGCAATGAGCACTAATATATCAAAGTAGAGGGATAAAAATCACCTTACCTATTTAAACATTGTAGAAAAAGTCCATTTCTTGTTTGCAAAAGGGCCTAATAAACCTCATGCAGGTAGATCATTCATCAGAGAGGAATATATTCCAAATGTTCTGAATTCTGAAATATTTATTGCTGGTACTGTTTGTGTGTATGTGTCTGTGTCTGTGTGTCCAAGCATTGTGCAGCACTGGTTGTTGTGGGAGATAGGAGTTTGATGTGCTGGTGTGAGAAGAAACTAGTGTTTTACAACAGTGTTTACTGAGCTTGTGTTTTTTTGTTGTTATTTTATATTTTTCCTTTGGGGAAGGAACACACCTGAGGTGGTTAGTTGATAGAATAACCCTCAGCAAACCAAGCCAGAGTTTCTTAATTTTGTTTTTATGCCTTGCCATTGTGAGTGCGTTTGCTGGGAAATACATGACTCCTGGGCCTACACTACACACATTCAGTAAGAGTTTTATCTCTGTGCAGACTGAACAGAACTGTAGTTTACTGCAGTGAGCTTTCTGCTGGTGTGAATCCTGATACACACTCTAGACACCTGCATCTGTACTTTCATCTGAGAGAGGAGTGAGATACAGATCATTTCATCCTGTCTGTCTGCTCTCTGATCCACAGCTGATGTGACTCTGGACCCCAATACAGCTCATCCCAATCTCATCCTGTCTGAGGATGGGAAACAAGTGAGATATGGAGACACATGGCAGTATCTCCCTGACAATCCACAAAGATTTGATTATGTTGTCAGTGTCCTGGGAAAGGATGGGATCACCTCAGGGAGACACTACTGGGAGGTGAAGGTGGGGGAGAAGAGTGGTTGGGATTTAGGCGTCACCGGAGAGTCCAGCAGCAGGAAGGGCCAGAACACATACACCAGCCAGGATGGTTACTGGGTGCTTTATCTAAGGAATGGGAACGAATATGAGGCTAATTCAGTCCTCCTCCCCCTGAGCCAGAAGCCCCAGAAGGTGGGGGTGTATGTGGACTATGAGGGGGGACAGGTCTCCTTTTACAATGTGGACAACAGGTCTCATATCTACACCTTCACTGCCTCCTTCACTGAGAAACTCTTCCCATACCTCAGCCCCTATAACAATAGTAGAGGTACAAACTCAGCCCCACTGATCATCTGTCCTGTCAGTCACACAGACTGAATCAGCACATTTTCTGTGACAGGAGCTTTCTGGGAAAATAAATCATTTAGTTCAACTCTTGCATAGATCAAATTGTTCTCCTTTGTCTTCTTGTTTCTCTTTTATTTCCTTTTAATTGAGATTTATAATTTCTTTCACCTTTTTTTAAAGATGTTTATAAAATCCCAAAACTGATTTTGCTGTTTTTGTATTGCCCAATCAAATACTATGAAGTGTTTGTGATTCAGTATAATAAAATACATCATTTTGTCAACAACTTTACTTCTCATTTATTTTCTGCTTTTAACCCTGAAAAAGAGAGCTAACTACAACAAACAGGCTAAGAGCTCATCAGCTACACTGTGTAGCATGTTCACAATAGTATAATCTCATGTATTATACTACAAGTCTCTCCATCAGGAAACTGTTCACACCAGACAGGAAGGGGCGTGTCCTTACAGTCTGAGTGATGGGGGGTGGGGCCACATGTCATGTGACTGGAGGAGCTTGTGAGGAAGGGCAGGAAGTCACTGTTCAGGTCTCTGTCCTGACTGGGTGAAACAAGTGCAGGGACTGAGGAGAGGGGAAAGGGGAGCCCTGAGGTTGTTCCCAGTCTGGGGACTCAGTGCGTTTCAACAGTGCAGCCCTGCTGAGCCCCTCAGAGCAGAGAGCGCAGTGCCTGCCACTGTCCGTGTGCAGGTGTGGACCTGTAGTCTGTGCAGTGACCTCAAACAGCACATCTGTCTGTAATAGCATCTGTTCTTATCTGATGCTGCATTATTCTACAGCACCTTCTGTGGAGGTAATTCGAGATCCGCGGTGATGGTCTGGATTGTGGGAATCAGAGCTCACAGATTAGAAAGAGATCTTTGCACTTGTTTTAATTTAGGCTGTGAATCCAGGTGTCTTCACTGGACCCTGCAGTTGAGACATGATGCCTCTGTCTCCAGACACGCTGATCAGGCTGGGCGTGTGGAGATGAGGGGTGTGTCCCTTCAGACAGAAGAGAAAGTGAAAGCTTCCTGTGTTCAGCACAGCTCACCCAGCCTGGCTGCAGCCCACAGCACGAGCGGCAGAGACACAGCCTGCGTCTCCGGGGTGAGAATCCACTGGACACTGCAGCTCCCAGATTGGATCCAGGAGCCTGAGGAAGTGTCCCGGTCCTGACTGCGCTGTGAGCAGGTGAGCAGACAGAGTGAACTGTACAGCTGTGAGACAGACAGCAGGCCTCCCTGCACACAACAGCAGCACTGTAGCACATCTGCCTGACTCTCCTGGCAGACTTACAGTCCAGCACACTGCCTCCTGACATCTGGCCAAGGGCAGCCTGTTCACACATCGGTGTATTAAAATGGGTGTATTTACCTGAGACTGGGCAGATCTGTCCTGCTGAAGATGAAAGTAAAAGTCACTCGAGGTCTTTAGCTCAGGACTTCCTGAAATGGGAACAGGAAGTAGTTTTCTCGTCTCTGAGCAGAACGAGGCAGGGGGACATGAAGACAGACTGTGCCTTGGTTGTACTTCTTCAGTGACTGATTCCCTGTTGTGGCACTAAATGACTCCAGTATTTTCCACTCAACAGTAAGAACAACAGTAAGAACTCTGCTGTCTTAACAGTACTACTGTCTCTCTGTATTACTATTTCCTCTTTACAGTAAATCCTGTTTAATTGCAGCTTCTGTTGACATTTTGGATGTCTTTGTTCCTTGAAATCAATTATGGCCAGCAGCCATATCACTCTGCAATTCACATCTGGCAACCCACTGATGCTCAGCAGGTGTGAGCCTGGTCAGTACTTGGATGGGAGACCTCCTGGGAAAAACTAAGGTTGCTGCTGGAAGAGGGGTTAGTGAGGCCAGCAGGGGGCGCTCACCCTGCGGTCCATGTGGGTCCTAATGCCCCAGTATAGTGACATGGACACTATACTGTAAACAGGCGCCGTCCTTCGGATGAGACGTAAAACCAAGATCCTGACTCTCTGTGGTCATTAATAATCCCAGGGCGTTTCTTGAAAAGAGTAGGGGTGTTACCCTGGCGTCCTGGCCAAATTTCCCATTGGCCCTTACCAATCATGACCTCCTGATAATCCCCCTCTATGAATTGGCTTCATTACTCTGCTCTCCTCCCCACTGATAGCTGATGTGTGGTGAGCGTTCTGGAGCACTATGGCTGCCGTCGCATCATCCAGGTGGATGGTAAGAGGAATCCCTATTACCTGTAAAGTGCTTTGAGTGGCGTGTCCAGAAAAGTGCTATATAAGTGTAAGCAATTATTATTATAATTAGAATTGAGCCTGGATCTGTATTTTGTCTCAGTCATTAGACAGACTGGTGAAATGACACAGTGCAGGATCAGTGTTCCTGTGTCTTTACTCACTCTCTGACTGTTTCAAGATGTGGACTGGTCATCAGGTGAATCAGTGCTCCTGTGTCTTTACTGATGGATTATGAGTATGTTTCAGGATGAGGACTGGTCCTCAGGTGAATCAGTGCTCCTGTGTCTTTACTCACTCTCTGTGTGTTACAGGATGAAGACTGATCACTCGAAGTCGCTGTGTTTGATCATCCTACTGGTCCAGCAGATCTGTGTCTCCAGACCAGGTACAGCTCTGACAGCACAACTGGAATCGGGAGGGAATTATCGTTCTGTGAGAGTGAAAGTCTCAGTCAGAGTGTGTGACTGTGTGTGTTTTCTCTCTCAGTAACGTGTGAGGGTGTCTGGGACAGGTGATGTTATGTGAAAAAGAGTCTCAGTCTGTGTCTCATTTCTCTCTCCAGACACATTTCAGGTTCTTGGTCCAGCTGATCCTGTTGTCGCCGTGGCTGGTGAAGACACTGTCCTGCCCTGTTACCTCTCACCCAGGATCAGCGCTGAGGGACTGGAGATCCGCTGGTTCAGGGATGAACCCACTAAGCCTGTGTTTTTATACCACAACTACAGACCGGAGCTTCAAAATCAGATGTTGAACTACAAGGAAAGAGCTGCACTGTTTCCAAAGGAGCTCAGTAAAGGCAACACTTCCTTACGGCTGACACGGGTGCGAGGCTCTGACCATGGGAGATACAGATGCTTCATTATGTCTCTTGATTTTTTTGATGACACTGTCATTGAAGTGGATGTTAGAGGTCAGTTCAGTTTTCATTTGTTTCTCAGTATCGAATAATGTGGGCTTCCTTCAGAGAAGATCTTACTGAAACTGTCAGTAGAGATGCTGGTGGCACTAAGCACAACACCAGAGTCATATCTGTTACTGTACTGAGATATGAACTTGGACTGGAGACCCCGCCAAGCCTTAAAGGACTCAAGCAATCACAAGAAAGTGCCTTCAGTAGTTTTACTGTGTTTATGTAAAGAGGCACCTATCAGGGAAGATGACATTTCATTGAAAGAACTAATGGATTGAGTCTCAACTGGTCTGAATGAGTAATTAGCACTGAGAGAAAGGAACTAGAGTGATTGACTCTGTGTGATTGGTCATTCCTCTGGACCAAGTGTGAGGCTTTTGAGAGAAAAAGGGTTTCAGTCTGTGCCTAGTCTCCACCTTGACAGGTGAGGGTGAATGTGAGCTGTATTGTTGGTCTCATAGAAATGACTGAGTTTTAGGCCTGTGAGACTTAATGATGGATACTTTTGACAATATATCTTAGGATTAAACTAAGTTTCTGACTGTTGCCAAACGATCAAAGGTGGCTGTTGGATAGTTTGTTTGTAGGGTAGGGGTAGGAGGGCATTGCTGAGGACCAGGATGGACCAGCTGATACAGGGCTGGTGGCAGGCGTTAGAGCAGTGATGCCTGTGTCCTCTTTTGCTGATGAGAGAGGCAGGAGTCTAGGTAGCACAGGTAGAATCCTTCCCTCATTGTAACATCAGCAGTCAGAGGAATGGTCATGGGTTGTAATTAGTGAAAAGACATCAAACTGGCTCCTACTGCTGTCTTAGGAGCTCAAATGTATTCTGAAGAGCCCTGTCCCTGGCCAAACAGGACCAGCCAGTAGAGGGTAGAGGTAGTTATGGGAAAAAGAAGTGGCTGCTAATCAAGATTAAGTGAGATAGAAGAGTCGTTGTCGGGCTCATTGATGTGCAGATGGCGAACTGATGTTCAGGGCCGAGTTGAATTAGAGCCAGTGAACTAACCATTATTCTCCTTTCACAATAGAGTGAGGACTGGAAACTGGGTGTTAAAGGTTATTGAGCTAATGTCAGTGTCAAAGTTACAATTTACAATTTAGTGAATATTGCAAAGGGCCAGATGGCGTAACTAAACAGTTCTCCTGAGCCTGTTGACTAAAGAGGACAATTTATTTAGTTGAAGAGTTCAGCTGAAGAGAAATGATACTCATATGACTGGTACCAAGCAAAGAGTAATTGAAAGGAAGAGGACAGTGCTCTTCCCCGAGAGGAGACCACCGTTAGCCCTAGCAGGGGTCCAGAACACGAGGACGAACCATTCAAATACAAAAAACAAACCTGACACTCTGGTAGCTTCGGTCTTTTGGTGCCACATATGCCAGCATAGTCATAGCGCCAACTGTAAGTTATCCCTAAGTTAATTATTAATTACAGAATTATATTTCCAATATTAATGGATCTGACTGTCATTTCTATGAAATGACATACCAGTGTTTTACTCACCAAACTAAGCTGATAAATTCTCTTGAGACAAAAGCAACAGAAATTTCTTATTGAACTTGTTAATTTTTGTTACAAAATTTCTACTGTTCTTAAAAACTCTTTCAGCTGTGGGCACCCAGACGGCGATCTCTCTGGAGACGCACCAGGCTCAGGGGGTCAGTCTGGGCTGTGAGTCTAAAGGCTGGTTCCCAGAGCCTGAAGTGGTGTGGCTGGACAGTGAAGGACAGAGCCTGACTGCCGACCCCACAGAGACGCACAGGGACAGCCAGGACCTCTTCACTGTGAGGAGACAGGTGACCGTGCAGCACAGCGCCACCAACAGGTTCACCTGCCGAGTTCAGCAGCAGCAGCTGAACCAAGTGAGGGAGGCAGAGATCGACGTCCCCAGTGAGTAGCAGGGGCTCCTGTTCACAGCCTTCAGGACGCCCTGACTCTGTGCAGCTCTGCAGCTGTGATGCTGTGTTTTCCAGGTGAACTCTTCCCCCGAGTCTCTCCCTGGATGGTGGCTTTCTGGGTGATCCTGGTCCTCGTGCTCTGTGCTCTTGTTGGTCTTGCTATGATCATGTATCGCCATGTCAAACTGCGCACGGAGAGAGGTATTTCAATTACTAATTCATTCAAATAGTTCAAATTATTTTCATCTTCATCTTGAGTGATATTCTAGTAGGGAAAGTCTCCTCTAACCTGCAGAGCTTGTGTAAATTGTGGACTGTCCCTGCTCCATTCCTGTTCACCTTTTACACCTCTGACTTCAAGCACTACTCTGCAGAAGTTTTCGGATGACTCTGCAATTGTGGGGTGTGTTAGTGAGGGGAGGGAGGAGGAATATAGGAGCTTGATTACCAGCTTTGTGGAGTTGTGTCATCTTAACCACCTCGTTCAACACCAGCAAGACTAAAGAAATGGTCATGGACTTCCGAAGGAATAAGACTCCGCTGAACCCTGTTTCCATCCAGGGTGAGGACATAGAGGGCGTACATTCCTACAAGTACTTAGGGGGACACTTGGATGATAAGCTGGAGTGGTCTGGTAACACTGACGACCTGTTCAAGAAAGGTCAGAGCCAACTCTGTTTCCTTAGGAGACTCAGGTCCTTTGGTGTGTGTGGAACACTGCTACACATTTTTTATGAATCAGAGATGGCAGAGGCCATCTTCTACGCTGTTGTGTGCTGGGGCAGCAGCATCATGACAAGAGATGTACTGTAAATAGGCTCAATAAACTCATCAAGAAGGCTGGCACTGTGCTGGGGATGAGCCTTGACCCCCTGGAGGTGGTGGCTGAGAGGAGAATGCTGACCAAGCTCACAGCCATCATGAACAATGCCTCTCATCCGCTGTTATTAGGCAGCGGAGCACTTTTAGCAGCAGACTGCTCCAGCTCCGGTGTTCAAGGGAACGTGTCTGCAGGTCTTTCCTCCTGGCGGCTGTCAGGGTGTGTAACGCTGCCCTAGGCTAGGACTGTTAGCCCTTCGTCTGCTCCTCTATGGACAGCATGTTGCACTACTGTACTTTTTGGACACTCAATCTGTATAGACCTATGCTCATCTATGGACAGCATTTTGCACATATTTTATTGTTTTAAAGTGACTACAAGCATATTTTGCACACACCTAATTATATATTTTATTTTGTATTGCTGTACTTTTTTATTTTAATTTTTCGTCTATTCTGATGTCTGTTTTTGCAGACTGCTGGGCTGCTGTAACACCTCAATTTCCCTTCGGGATCAATAAAGTCTTATCTATCTATCCTTAAACATCTGTAGGCTCATTCTTTTTTCATTTACTTGTATTATACTTTTCTTGCTTTCTTTCTTCTTTATTCATGATGTAAAACAATCTTGGATTGCAGCAGCTTTCTCACACTCATTCACTCCAGCTGTGTCTCAGTCCTCACCAGCTCTTTCACACTCATTCACTCCAGCTGTGTCTCAGTCCTCACCAGCTGTTTCACACTCATTCACACTAACTGTGTCTCAGTCCTCACCAGCTCTCTCACACTCATTCACTCCAGCTGTCTCAGTCCTCACCAGCTCTCTCACACTCATTCACTCCAGCTGTGTCTCAGTCCTCACCAGCTCTTTCACACTCATTCACTCTAGCTGTGTCTCAGTCCTCACCAGCTGTTTCACACTCATTTACCAGCTGTGTCTCAGTCATCACCAGCTCTTTCACACTCATTCACTCCAACTGTGTCTCAGTCCTCACCAGCTCTCTCAAACTGCACAGGGAGAGAGGTATTTGACCAGTTTCTCTTACTATTTTATTAAATCTGCTGAAGATTACATTTTCCTAATATGATTGTTCATTTAAATAAAGTTAAAGTGTTGTTAATACTGCTGCAGATCCATTTGTGATCATGAGCATCTGCAGTTACAGTTTCTCTTTCTTTTCTCTGCAGGGAGGCTTGTTGCACAAAGGAGTGAGTAATATTTATGTGCTGTGGGGAGTACTGTGTGTGTTTTGTTGAGAGTACTGTGTGTGTGTGCTGTGGGGAGTACTGTGTGTGTGTGCTGTGATGAATACTATGTGTGTATTTTGGGGAGTACCATGTGTGTGTTATGGGCAGTACTGTGTGGGTGTATTGTGGGGACCATTGTGTGTGTGTATTGTGGGGAGTATTGTGTGTGTATTGTGGAGAGTACTATGTGTGTATATTGTGGGGAGTACTGTGTGTGTATTGTGGGAAGTACTGTGTTTGTGTGCTGTGGTGAACACTGTGTGCATGGGGAGTATTGCATATTAGTGTATTGTTGGGTGTACTGTTTGTGTGTTTTGTTGAGAGTACTGTGTGTGTGTGATGTGGGGAGTACTGTGTGTGTGGGGAGTACTGTGTGGGGGGAGTTTCATGTGTGTGTATTGTGGGGAATACTGTGTGTGTTATGGGGAGTACTGTGTGTGTGTGGAGGGAGTACTGTGTGTGTTCTCTTGGGTCTCACTTGTCACAAAGGCAGTGTTTGACAGATACACTGTGTGTCCCAGAGTAACTGTGCATTCACATGTCCCAGTGAGTGACTCCTCACTCCTCAGACACAGGAGAGGAGTCCTGTAGGAGAGACTCTGCTCTCAGGGAGATCCTGTTGAAACTGCTCTCTGTCTCACTGCTGTTTCTCTCCTCTTCCTTTGACAGACACTCTGGTCAGAGAGAAGAGTAAGTGTTTCCCTCATCACTGCTCTCCTTCATGTTCCTCAGTCCTCTACTGCACAGTTTCTAGTGTTTGATATAGTTTAGTTTATATTTTATATTTGAGTAATAAAAGATACTCTTATTAAAAGACGATAGCCAATAGTATTTATAGCATTGAATTGGAATTTTTGTGCTTTCCTGTGTGTCTCTGGAAGTCTTGGTGGTCAGTTAGTTGTCTTGAAGTGAGTCAGGAGCAGGAGTCAGTGTGGAGTGTGTGAAAGGGACAGAGTGACTCCTCACTCCTCAGACACAGGAGAGGAGTCCTGTAGGAGAGACTCTGCTCTCAGGGAGATCCTGAAGAAACTGCTCTCTGTCTCACTGCTGTTTCTCTCCTCTTCCTTTGACAGACGCTCTGGACCAAGAGAAGGGTAAGTGTTTCCTACTGTTACTGGTTTTCTTTTCCTTCATTCTTCACTGCTCTAGTTTAAGTGTTTTATGTAGTTTAAGATTTGTGTCTGTTTTCTTTCTGTCCTCCAATCCTGTATCTTGTAGTCCTGTTTCATGGCCTTCTAAAGTTCTGGTTTCTCTTTTCTCTTCAGAGGAGCTTACTAAGAAGCTGGGTGAGTAGTCTTTTTTTCTCAAAAGTATTTATTAAGGTTGTTTTCCCCTTTATAATATCTTCTGCAAGATCTGCAAACGTCAAGGAAAAACACAGCTGTTCAGAACTTCATTTTTTTACACAGACTATAGTAAGATTTAGAACTACACAGACATGTTTGGCATATTATATTTTTAACAAGTGTGGACTTCTTTAAAAAGTCTGAATATGTTGGGACGTCACTGCTGAGTTTTCAACTTTGCCCAAGACTAAAGGTACGTTCCAGTCAAACTGTGTCTTTGGCGTGCTGAAAAGGCTGTGCTCCCGTGCTCACAAAGTAAAGTCAAGCAGTGTTTTCTTACAAGAGCTGCTCTGGCCTCGTCTTCAACAGGCCTGTGCTGAGGCCCAGCGATGAGCTCTCTGTTTGCCCCTCTCGCCACAGCGCTTATCTGACATGGGGCCACACGTGAACACGGGCTCTGAACGTGAATGTGTTGCTGTATGACAGTGTTAGCAGAGATGGACATTCAGCTGACTCATGTTCCACTGTTTTGTTCTCTTTGACAGAATCTGCTTCTAAAGAGAAGGGTAAGAATGTTCCCGTGTGTCCTGACTTGAGATGTTTTGTTGAATTAAAGAATTTGGCTCTTTTGCTTTCCTGTGTGTTTGTGGTAGCCATGTTTTTCAAATGTCGAGTGATTTTATAGAATTTGTGTTCAGCTGAGTCAGGAGCAGGAGTCGGTGTGGAGTGTGTGAAAGGGACAGAGGGACTCCTCACTCCTCAGACACAGGAGAGGAGTCCTGTAGGAGAGACTCTGCTCTCAGGGAGATCCTGGAGAAACTGCTCTCTGTCTCACTGCTGTTTCTCTCCTCTTC